TCAAATTACAATGTATCAGGACTGCGGTTGCACTATAATTAACTGCGCAGACCTCAGTTGCCCATATTGCACCACTCATTATGACAATCAATGAATGACTGGATTGATGAGTTTCAAATTAGTTGAGGTTTTGTTTTTCAGCTGAACCTGTAATGCAATGCCCGTACATGTACACGTGCAGGATCTGTGCTTATCTTAGTGTGGACACCAGTGTGTACCACCACATCAGCAGCTCACCCCAGGGAGTTACATAACAAAGCAAATCCTCCGGCCTGAGGAGGGGCTAGAGAATCCTCCCAGGTAAACAAGAGTGGTGCTCAAGTGATAAGTCAGCCAAGCAGATAGTGACTCAGACCTGCACCACTTAACAATGAAAGAGCAACTTCAACAAACAGAAAGGCCAGAAATGAGGTTCAGTTTAATTAAAGATAAGTAGTTCCCTTTTCAAGAAAACATGAATTAAATGATTTTGACCATTTATTCTTGAGGGATTGTTGCAGTAACTGTGACATTCCCTCATTGAGCTCAGTAGTTGTGACTAATAGACCAGCTTTTGCTTGACCAGCAGAGGCTTTAAATCAGCAGTGCACAGCCCAGATCTACCACCCTACATGGTTTGGCTCCAGGCCTAATCAAAAACACCTGATCCAGGGGATGAAGGCCTTCAGGAGCTTCTGAGTATTAGAGGCAGGTGTGCTGGATCTGAAATCTCCAGGGTGGTAGATGTCCAGGATTTGGCACTTCTGTTTTAAATCAATAGTGGCAGTGCTGCAAAAAGGTAACATACTGTACATGCAGGTCCATGTTTCCCTATCCTATCCCTGGAGAGCTCCCAAAGCCAGATGTTCTCAGCTTTTGGTGCCAGATTTCAGGTGCAAATAGGATGCATTCTGCCCAAAAACCATTAGTTTTCTAAACTTGCATATGAGCCTAAATGTGCAGTTTATGCATCATATACTGTGGGCTCCAAAAGTCTGAGACCACATCTAAAATCGGGGACTATTTTTCATTTAAAGCTGGAAACAAACAACATTGTAAATTTTGATGTCAAATGTGAAACAAAGTAAAGTTATGTCAAGTAAAATGAAGCAGAAATAGCCACGATTCTGTGCAATGTCTAGGTCACTATTCATATTTAAGCAAATTTGTGGCATTGAAAAAGTCAAGGCCTTTAAACAAAAAGGTCAGTTCTTTTTGGTTTTATTCCTTTTATTGAAGCTCGTGTTCAGATGACACTCAGAAAGATTTGATTTACTCATCAGAGGTTTGTGGAGTCCACGTGAGCTTGAGTGCACACTTTCATTAACGCAAAAGAAATAGATCAGAATAACTCAGAATAACTAAGTTCTGAAATTCATGTTAAAATGTTAAAGATTCTACTTTTCTTTCAAATCGTTATGCTGATAATAGAATTTGTAATGAAAGTCTTTCTGGTAAATTAAAAAGGAGTGCAAAACAGAGGCATTTTCACTAGTGGTCTCTGACTTTTGGACCTCACTGTATATGAAAAAATGCAAAATATATATGCATTTCCAAAAAAAAGTCTATTTTTATTTTTCAACATCATTTGAGCACAGCAGCTGTCCTTTTATTGTGTTATAATTTCATGAACCAAAAGAAATGGTCCAAAAGGTTTTTGCCTTCTCCTGTAAAGTTATCATTTTGGGGTGTTTGCACAGCAATGATTTGCAGGGCAGTTGCTCACAACTAGGAACGACTGTGCAAAGAAGTCTGTAGAGATCGATGGCATGGCTGATTACATATTCTGTTTAATTTCCTAAAGTTTTGGCAGGCAGTTTTGTGTGTTTTGTAGTTCTCTGGTGCTGGTGGCAGGTGCAAAACAGGGGTATTATTTCAGTGTGTGTTTACCTTTATACAGGGAGATTCACTCGAAAGAGGCCCTGAATATTCTGTTGTAACTCCCGTTAGGATGAAGCAGTCTGAGCCAAAAAACTACACTACATACCTTGACGTATATGTAATCGATTGCATTACATGTGATGCTGGAAGTGATCTCCGTTTTGTGCCAGACACATGAAAGGGTACGGGGGTGTGCACCCGGAAGTTGCAAACAGTGGTTAAACGTCACAACGGCTGTCCGTGCCTATCTCATCACTCCGACGCAGGGGCATCCCGGCTTGTTCGAAGCTCCATATACTGAGGAGCACGTTGCACATTGTTTCGTTCAGATTGCTTCATCCTAGAGAGAGTTATTACAGAATATTCGAGGCCTCTTTCGAGTGAATCTCGCTGTAGTTCGGTTCTCTTTGTCAGGACGAAAGCGGAAAATGATACATTGTTAAATTTTAGTTTGGTTCTCTTAGTGTTCAGACTGACGTCTTTGACTAATGTAAACAAAAGTCATATGGACTTTTGATCATACTTGGCAAATGAAGTACATTTGATGACAATAAGTGGGTTAATATTCAGCGATCTTGCTGAATCATGCTGTATTATAGTTAAAAGTTTTATGGTTTTTTTGCAGGTCTTGTTTTATCAGCTAACTGTTCCATTTAAGGTGGAACATGAAAATTCGAACAAGAAGCTGGAGAATGAGAAGCAACTTCAGCTTCATGACTTTTAAATGTCTGACAGTTTCTCACTGCAGGTTAAACGTATCAGGAAACTGGAGTGTCTATAAATGCAAATAAGTCCATTAGTCTCTGAATCATCAATGTTAGTCCTAAATCTTTCTCTTTGCCTTTTTGTTATCTACTAGCTAGGCAAGCCTGTGGTCTGCGTTGCTATGTGACCAGCAGTCTGTGCACCAACTTTCAGGGTTAAAGGGTGAATTAGCTGTTCTACATTAACTCCAGCGTTTAAGACCATTTACTGTTAAACTGTGTTGAACGACCAGCAGAGCTTTATTTTACTGTAAAGGAGGATTATTTTATTTTTACCTACAAATCTAATTCTGCTGTGGAGCCACAACAGGACAGTAAAAGAGCCGAATGTGGCTCAGGAGCTGTGAGTTGCCAACTCCTGGGATAGGCAGAGGCACAAGTCTTAAAGACGTGCTGAGGAAATATTTACTAATAGATTAACACTAGTCAAACTCTCAGAGCCTCTCCAGAGTTCACCTAGTGATGTCTATGGCATTAACTTTCCATTTTATATGCCAGATTCTCTCTTTTAGCCAGAGTAGAGCGATGCCCTGTAGGATGTTTAGATGTGAAAGAAGTATTAATTAACAGTGCTATCATTTCACAGCTGAATTTATAGGTTACCTTCCGTTCTTTCACATCTAACTGCCAGCTTGTCGGTAGGCCTCTTTGTCGTAATCATGCAGTCTCTTGGGGAACTACATGTGCTTCCTATACTGTAAGCAGTGCTTATTTTGTTGCTACTAGCAATACTATGGACTACCTGTCAGCTGTTATTAACTTCAGCACTATTCTGTCCTCAGTAACCTTGTCTAGTGAGCAGCCTCAGAGCTGTTTTCCTGTCCTGACTGTGTAATAAACATGCAGTTTTTTTCCAAGTGATAATAAATGAATCATCAAAAATGTTTTAACTTTTTGTTTGTTTGTTTATTTTTCTCACCAACAGCTTACAGTCTAGTCATAGTAGACTACGTCGTATGTTTGTTTGTGGCTGGTTGAAATGGCCAGTGAGCAGTGGACATTTTTGCTTCCACACTGTAAACAGGGCTACAGCGTTGTCTCGGGATTAGAGAGGGATTTGCCCTGCTAAGCTCCCGTAACCCAGCCCATTGGCCCCCGGGGTCACTGCATCCTAACTGCCTCCTGCTAAAAACAGTCCTGTCAGAAAGACGTATATGAGTGTGAATTTGAACATATTTGTGGACAGTGAGGATGGAAGTAACTTGAATGTAGGTCCTAACTGCTCTTTACAAGTGTTGAAGTGGCAGAACCGTGAGGCGAGGAGGCCTGTGTAGTCAGCTTATCCAATGCTGGTTACAGTAGAGAAAGAAATTTCAGATCTTTATGGTTGACGCACATTAAGTAATTTGGAGTGGTCAACTACCGTAACATAAAACGAGTGATTATTCAGAGATTTCAAATGAAAAGTCTGGTAAGAGTAAAAAATGTTTATTGCACTGAATTCACAGCCCCAGTTTATTAACAGAAACACAACTGGGCTTTTATTCATTGTGTGACATTACAACAAAACAGTAAAATAAAAAGGCTGGAGTCAAGACAGAGTGTGGCTTGCAAATCTGCTGAAATAGTAGCTTAGCATAACTTAAAGAGTCATGTGAGATACATATTGCAATTTTTGCTCTATTTGGTCTCAGGCAGAACAATTTGCTAATTTCAAGTAGTATTTTAAGTGGATACATAACGAGTTGGCTGATTACTCATGACCGCCTTTCATTTTTACAACTGCATGTCAGGGACTCTGCTGTGCTTTTCCTGGAGAGTTTTCATCTATTTGCCTTGAAATAGAAGTAATGTGAACCCAAATTTAGGCTGCATTTTGGTCTAGTATCACGTCTGTTATTGCAGTGGAGGAATGGAGACATCAGCACTGGAAACAGCGAGAGCAGCGGCCTTTATAGCTCCATATGTTCATTAGTCATTGATTTAGCTTCATGGCTGTGCTATTATGTTCCATCACCCTGGCAGAACGTCCACTGTAGGTCCTCTCCCAATTCTAATGAAAGCAAAAGGACTGTTTTAAATTTAGCCAAGCTGGCATGCGAACTAGGCTATGCAGGCTGGCTACGACTAGCTCTTGTTATTTTTTAACCATGTTAGCATTCTTAGTTGAACTTTTCCTTAATTTCTACTAATAGAAATAAGAAAGTGTTCCGGTAGAAGAGCTTCTCTTCGGGCCAGCACTTTACTGAAATGCACCTTGCATTCTGCTGTACTCTCAACAGCGCTCCAGATGAAATTAAGCCTTGGAACAAAGTCATGCTAGAGAACAGCGCCGCAAGAAGCATTTGTCTCTGTCAACAAAATATCATTTGGTGGAATGAGTCAGCGGAATGAATCCTAACCCTTGTCTCTTCGTGTTTCAGTCGGACTGACAGTGTCCTATGTTGCCAGGCCAGAAGCTTGGCCACTGCTAAGGGCAGTTTCCTGCTGTTTTGCTGACTCTGCCCCTTCAGACTGTAGTGTTTGGACAGCAACCTCTGCCTGGTAAATGACAAGCCTATTTTAACTAAATTGACTTTGTGTTAGTGTTAAGTAAAGGCAATATGATGATATTGTATCATATTATAATGACAAAGTCTGAACGTGAATATCTCACACTGAACACCAATTATAGAGAGAAAGTAAACAACAACAACTCTTTGTATAGTAACTGCATAACCTGCATAGTAACCGGTTAACTGATTAAATGTCAGCTAATTATGCCATTAGCTTATTTTTCCTATATATCCAAAGTTGAATTTTAAAAAATCAGTGTACTCATAGTTTTTCATAGCTCTTTTCAAAATGTGCTGCCACTTTTTATCCATTCCAAATTGTAATAAACCTCAAAAAAAAAAAAACTAAAGGTTGTGCTGCATATCAGGTTTTATGAAAATGTCTTGAAGTATTGTGAAGTTATATTTTTGCCATAATGCCCACCCTAAATGAGCACCTTCTATATAATCAAGTTATACGGTAATTTAATACTTCCTCTTAAACGAGAAAGAGCAGACTGTAATGTAAGTCAATAACAGTGATAATTTATCTTTAAGGCAGGGCTGCCCAGTGTTTGATTTGGCCAGCCAGAAAGTCACCCTAACCTCACCCCACTCGTCCAATGAAAGAAGAATAAACATATTATATCCTACAGATTACTAAATGTTGTTTATTTTAAGTATTTTAGTAACCAAATATAGTGTAATGTTCTGAAATAAAATGTGTTAATCTTCATTTGAAGCCTACTTATCCTTTTTATATATGTATTGCCCCCCTAAGACGAAAAGCTTGGGCACCCCTGATCTAAGGGTTTATCACAAGTGTTATTGACTCACCAACCTTGTACACACAGTAAGGCCCAACTAATATTACAATTTTGTGGCCAATACTGAAACTTTTAAGGGGCTTAATATTTGATAATATATAATACACCAATCAGCCATAACATGAAAAACACCTTCTTGTTTCTACGCTCATTGTCCATTTTATCAGCTCCACTTACTATATAGGTGCACTTTGTAGTTCTACAGTTACAGACTGTAGTCCATCTGTTTCTCTGCATACTTTGTTAACCCACTTTTACCCTGTTCTTCAGTGGTCAGGACACCACAGGACCACCACATAGTCAGAAATGATAGCTCATCTGCTGCTGCACAGTTTGTGTTGGTCATCCTCCAGTCCTTCATCAGTGGTCACAGGACGCTGTTGGCTGGATGTTTTTGGTTGGTGGACTATTCTTAGTCCAGCAGTGACACTGAGGTGTTTAAAAACTCCAGCAACACTGCTGTGTCTGATCCACTCAGACCAGCACAACACACATTAACACACCACCACCACATCAGTGTTACTGCAGTGCTGAGAATGATCCACCACCCAAATAGTACCTGCTCTGTGGTGGTCCTGTAAGGGTCCTGACCAGTCAGGCTGATTGGTGTATTTATATATACTGTCACTGTTGGAATAAATACCTCATATATATGCCAGCTGATGATGGACCAATAAAAATGATTTTGAATAAAACCTTTATACATTAACTTCCATTAAAAGTTAAGACAACATAGTGAATATATAATAATATTCAGATTTATATTTTATTCTCTACTCCAGCAGTTTGAGCAGTGGTTAATTGAGTGATATAATTGTTGGTTGTGAATTGACACACTTTTTTTTAAGCTCTTTCATAAACAGCAGCAAGTTACAGCTATGCATGATATAAGTGTTATATCACTGGCGGTGGGTTAGATAGATTTTGTGTCTTTCATTTGTGCATTATTGCCAATATTTTTGCTGATACTGATAAAACCGTGGGTCATCAATATCAGCCCATTTGTGTGTTATAATTGTGTTCATCATTCATCTTTGTGCTTTGTTTTAAAGTACAGCAGTTCAGCCTGTGTTGCTGTGATACTGTTATACAGTTTGACTGACATTGGGTTCCATCTGTCTAAGGTTTCACCGCATTAGCGGGTGATTCTGGTGAGGCTGCGACCATAAAAGTTGGTAAATCTTGGTGTTTCATCAGTGATATTTGAATTATGTTACATTTCCACCAATACTGATAAAACTGTGGGTTGTGATTATTAGCTGACACTATTAGTCATGCTCTAATATCAGGAGGTGTCTCAATCCCAGTGGAAATCCCACTGGTCTGCATCGTTCTCCAGGTCCTCCATGGCTTAGCACATGTCTTAAGAGGATGGCTTAATAATTAATCATAACAAGTGTGACTGCTCGGGGGTGACAAGTTAATCGTAATGAATATCCCCACCAGCTTCTACTGTACTCTCAGTCTTCTCAATCGCATGACATTGCAGATTTCTCTCCATGCTGTTCACCATCAGTTGGTATATTTTAACCTTCTAAGTTGGATCATTTGCTTTCAGGAATTCCATGTCATAGTCTCAGGATGTGTCTCTCTCATATTAATTGCCCTTTTCCAATTTCTAAACCCAACAGGCAAGACTTTTTGGCTTGGAAAACAAATCCAAATCTGCCCACACGATGAACGACTAAGCTGAAAACAGTTGACCCTCATGGCACGTACAGTAATTCTCTGCTGCTGCTGCATTGATTAATAGTTTTAGGCCTTATGCATTTAAATGGTTTCTAAGAGGGAACTTGGGGAGGTAAAAATGCTAGGGACACTTTATTTTTCTTGAGAAATTTTCGATTTTGGCAAGTAAGAGCATTGCTTATGTTGCCTTCAGGCATCCATCTAGATGTTCTTTTCTTGTCTCGTGTCCTAGAGATGTAGAGAATGAGGCTGATTAATTGGGAGCAAGCAATGGAAGAAACATCCGTGGTCTCTGAGACAGAAAAAAAGATGGTTTTGAATGCTCGAGCAAGCAAAGCCGATGAACCGTGCAGCCAAACAACTACTATGAGTGCTCTGTGAACCTCGCTGATTGAATTAGGCCCAAATTTGTGCATTTTGTCCTTGGGAAACGCAGAGGGAAACTTTTCTTTTAACTTACTTTCAGCTTGCTTTTTCCTATTCTGTCTTCTTGGTTTCCACCGGTGGCTCTTTCCTCCAAGAAAGGGAGATGGATTATCTTTAATTTTTCTATGTTTTAGGATAAAAGAAGACTAAAGCTGTGAAATAACAACCATTGCTTCTGTTTTCCCATTAAGAGTATTAGTGAGGTTGGGCACTGATATTAAGATAATAAGGCCTGGCTTCATGTTTCATGTGATAGGCTATCGATGGGGTTGAGGTCAAGGCTCTGTGCAGTCAAGTTCATCCATACCAAATTCAGCAGACCATTTCTTTTTGGACTTTGTGCATAGAAAACAGAGAATGATTGGAATTCCCCAAACTGTTTCTGCCAAGCTGGAAGCATGCAGGTCTCTAGAATATCATTGTATGCTGTAGATCTCCCTTCAATGGAACTAAGGGGCCCAAACCATGAAAAACAGCCCCAGACCATCATTCCTCCTCCACCAAACTTTACAGTTGGCACTATGCATTTAGGCAGGTAGACTCCCATGTGGTGAAGATGGTGATGTTAAGGTTATGTACGGCTGCTTGGGCACAGAAATTCATTCCACGAGGCTTCTGACAAACACTTCTTGCACTGCCGTTGCCTCCAGAGGCGGTACTTTGATAGTGAGCGCCGAGGACGGGGAGTTTTTTCTTTTGCGGTTCCGTTCTATGATCTCGTGTGATCTGTCTTCTGGTTGTCACTCCCAGACGTTTCCACTTCACAGTAACAGCACTTACAGTTGACTGGGGCAGCTCTAGCAGGGCAGAAATTTGACTAAGTGACTTTTTGGAACGGCATCTGATAATATTAAATGTCACTAAGCACAACTCATTCAGCTGTCACTGTTTGTCTATACAAGTTGATTTAATGCATCGTTGTGAATGAGTTTGGCCAAAACAGCCGAATCCACTAATTAGAGGAGAAGTTCATATACATTTGACCATGTAGGGAATCTTATATGTTAGATTCTTCAAAGGACCTTAATGCAGCTTCTGCACATTCTTGCCATTCTCTGAAGCAGCTTCATTAAGAACCACGTGGGACTTAAAGATGTTCCACATTTGCTGAAATAAATAAGTTTTGGAAATAAACTGATACGTAGGTAACAACTTTACTATGTACGTTTACAGTTTCAAGCATTTAACCTCTTATTCTCCAGGATATATTTTGGTATTTGCATCTGAATTCACATGACCATCGTAAGGCAAGTTATTCAGTAACTGCATGAAATAAATGTACATTTTTGTTATATATTAAGCTCCCCTCACATTAACAGAACATGTGTTTTATGATCACACATATTGCTATATGCTTACAATTTACTGCTGAAAGCCAAAAATCTTAGACGCTCTTTGTATTATTTTATAAAAATAATTTCTACAGAGCAGATCACTGAAGAGACGCCATCTGTTTATAGTTTATAGCCCAGACTTGTGGAAAAATGGGTCGACTTTCAGGAGACAAAAAAAAAATGTAAGTTAATCTTCTTTTATTATAAAGTTTAAAATTACATTACCCATCTATTTGACAGGAAAGAAGACAGTTACAGCCTCATATGACCCCCACCTTTTGAATGTAGCTTATGAAATATGATGAAGTGTGATGAAGTGTGTTTGGGAACCACCGGTGGTCTCAAGGATCACAAGCCTAGATCAGAATGTCTTTAGAGTTATGAAAGACATTCAGATAGGTCTTCAAACGTTTGACTGTATCTCTTATTTGTTATTGTTATATCAGATGCTCATGCTAGTGAAGACTTGGGTTGTGTTTTTTCTGTCAGCACAGCCAAAGTTTTTTCCTCTGCAACTTTTTAAAGTGTTTCAGACCCTCTTCTTGCCTGTTGTCAATCATAAATCAAAGCTCAATTCGGCTTCCAAGCAGTAAACCAGGGCATTAAGGCCTTGCGGATCGGTATAAAGCATGTTACGTTGAGGCTTCTTCTGATTCTCTTGGCAACCATCCATGCTACGCTTCACAGTATTGGCAGGCGAGCCACCTTTTAGTGAGTCAGAATGTGCTCTGCGT